TAAGGACACTTGGTCCTTAACTTGGTCTTGAACTTACAGAACCTGTTCTTAATTATACAAGGATTGCTCTATAAAATATCTCCTGAGTTTCTGTCACGACCCTAAACCTGGACCCGATTGTGATGGCGCCTCTCGTGAAAACAAGACCAGCCAACTATTCCCAATTCGATGTTAAATAGTTAAACAATAAGAAAATAGTCTAAAACATGATTTAATAATACTAAGTAGCAGATAATATCATAAATATGCGGAAGGACAACCCAACACAACCCTAAACCGGGGTGTCACTAATCATGAGCATCTATAAACCTAATACAAGTCTGAAAGGTCTACAAACTATTACAAATGTCTAATATGAGATAGAAATGATAAAGAGGGAGAAACACGGGTCTGCGGACGTCAAGAAGCTACCTCGTAGACTCCGATATCTGCCGGGAGCTCTCAACTCGTACTAGCAGGATCCGCAACGCCTGAATCTGCACACAAGGGTGCAGGAAGTAAAGTGAGTACTCCAACTCAATGAGTAACAGATGTAAATAAAGACTGAAAACAAGAAATCACGTAAAGCATAAGGCATTCTATGATGAAGTAGTAAAAGCCATTTAAAAACAGTAAAACAGTGAAAGATAGGTAAAGTCCTTTAACTCAAATGTAGTTTCATGAAAAGCCTTTTTTAATAATTAAGCAGGTAATTGACAGTCAACTATGGAAAGTAAACACATAAAGGTTCGCCCGTCGGGCACAGTATTAACAAATCCGCCCCTCGGTCAACATCTCATAACAGTACCAGTCCCTCGGGCAATCACATCGAACAATACCAGCCCTTCGGGCTCAATCTCACATCACAATGGGTACCCGCGCTTAGTGGGGGTGTGTAGACTCCTGGAGGGGCCCCTTACGGCCCAAGCGCAATAACAAGCCATCTCGTGGCATTATCACTAGGCTCTCGGCCTCATATCAACTAGCCACCTCATGGCTTACTTATCTCAGGCTCTCGGCCTCATAATCATAACCAAATATTTCCTCACAATATAGGCCCTCGGCCTTACTCAGTCAAAATCCTCACAAGCCACTCGGGCAATAGTAAAACATGATTCTCAACCCTAATATCATTTAAAAGATCATTTAAATGTTAAAACAGAGTAAACATGACTGAGTTATAAAAATTGTGGAATATAGCAAGACTGAGTTCAAGTATAAAATCAAAACAGTGAGGACATATCAATAAAAATCCCCTAAGAGTTCAAATAGTTGGCACGAGGCCCAAATATGACATTCAGCCCAAAACATGATGATAAGAAATAGATTTTAGTCAAATACGCGGTAAAATAGTCATTCGGTACGGACTAAGTCACAATCCCCAACAGTGCACGACCCCACGCTAGTCATCAAGCATGTGCGTCACCTCAATATAGCACAACGATGTGAAATCCGGGGTTTTATACCCTTCGGAACATCATTTACGATCATTACTTACCTCAATCCGATCAAATCTCTTGTCTGCGACGCCTTTGCCCCTCGAATCGGCCTCCACTCATGTCGAATCTATCTAAAATCAGAACCACGACGTCAAAATATGCTAAGAGAACGAAGCCCAAGTGAAAATAATCAATTTACAACACAAATCCCAAAATTACCAAACCCGACCCCCAGGCCCAGAATTCGATGAAATTCACATCAATGGGTTCCTTATCTCCCCACGAGTTCATAATATCAAAAGTACCAAAATCCGACCACAATAGGTCCCTCAAATCCTCAAGTCTAGGTCTCCAATACCAAGCCCTAGTTTCCCCAATTTTAAACCTTAATTTCCATTAATTATAGCTCTAATCCGTGAAATAATACCATAGGAACGAGTTTTAGGTCCAAAATCCTTACCTCAACCAAGTTCCCTTGAAATCCTTCTTCAAAATCGTCCAAAAAGCTCCCAAGCCGACTTAAAAATGGTAGAATGGCTCAAATATCACGAAGGAAACAATTTATATGTTCTGGCCCAGGGATTTCACATCTGCGGCCCAGTTTTCGCTTCTACGGTCAAGCCACCACATCTGCGGTTTTCACTTAACCTCCAGCTTTCCGCATCTGCGATGCACCAGCCACATTTGCGCCTTCGTAGGTGCGGTCCCACAACCACATCTGCTATTCCTACCTTCCTAGGCATTTTTTGCTTCTGCAGCCTTCCCCTTCACATCTGCGGCATCGCACCTGCGGTCCCCACTCCGCAGGTGCAGAAATACCAGAAGCAGAAAATCTGTAGCTTTCTTCAAAAATTCCAAACTCTCCGTCAACCATCCAAAATCCCCCCGAGGCCCCCGGGACCTCAACCAAAAGCACCAACATATCCCAAAACCTTATTCAAACTTATACCAATCTTCAAAACACCTCAAACAACATTGGATCAACCAAAACTCATCGGATTCAAGCCTAAGTTTCCAAAATCTTCCGAATTACGCTTTTGATCAAAAATCCAACCAAACCACGTCCGAATGACCTGAAATTTTGCATACACATCCCAAATGACTCGACGGAACTATTGAAGCTCTTGGAATTCCATTCTTACCCCTATATCAAAATCTCACATATCAACCAAAAAATGCCAAAAATCCAATTTCGCCAATTCAAGCCTAAATCTATTCCGGACCTCCAAAACACATTCCGATCACGCTCCTATATCCCAAATCACCTCTCGAAGCTATCCGAACCATCAGAACTCACATTTTAGCCCTCTAACACATATGTCAATATCCGATTGACTTTTCCAACTTAAGCTTCTTCAAAAGAGACTAAGTGTCTCAAACCTTACCAAATCCTTTCTGAACCTGAGCCAAACAACCCGATCACTCATAGAATCGATAAACAAAGAAATAAGAAGCAAAAATGGGGGAAATGGAGCGGCAACTCATGAGACGACTGGCCCGGACATCATAGTTTTCTATTCTCTTGACTTGCAGGATGGAAACAATATACATTATAGTTGCTTTTAATGGTGGATGGACTGAAGACTATAAGTATCTTGATCATCAAACAAAGCTTGTTCTAGTCCTGAGGCAATTCGGTTTCAAGATTTCATTAAACAGATCTTTGAAGTTATTGAATTGGATAGAGACAAGTTTAAAGTAGTGATATGGTTTGATATCAACCTTGGAACAAGCAAGGGAATGCCTGTATCCAAAGATTTAGTTCTTCACACATGTATAGAGTTACTAAAAACTCATTCACTCTTCAAGGGTTGTCGTTTCATTGTTGATATTTCCGAAAGAGTTTTTGGATCAACAAGCAACTTTGAACATGTCAACAGATAAACTCAACATGACAATCAAAATAAATGCCAACAGATAATGGAAATAGATATGGTTGAAGCTCAACCAATAACTGAAGAGGTGCTTCAACACATGACAACATAGAAACTCAGCATGACAATCAAAACAAATGCCAACAGATAATGGAAATAGATATGGTTGAAGCTCAACCAATAACTGAAGAGGTGCTTCAAACATTTGATTCTATTCAAGTAGAAGGACAAAACATTATAGAGATTGACAACGAACAAGCTTTGGGCATTCAAGTCTTAGAGAGTGCACTGGTAATCGAAGAAGTAGCTGAAAAAACCTCTACTCAACTAACTAGACGAAGATCAAATTTGAAACAAAAAGAATCCCCAACTACGATATTAAGAGAAAATGCTTTGTTGGATGAAATAAAAGTGGGATCCGTATTTTACAAAAAGAAGAGTATAATTAACTGTTTTTCGAATATAGCAATTAAAGGACATTTTGAATTTAAGGTTGTTAGATCAAGCTCAACAACATATTCGTTGAAATGCAATGATGATAGGTGTGGGTGTTGTGTGCGTGCTTTCAGAATTAAAGACTCAACACTATTCAAGATAGTAAAAATTGAGAAAAATCATGATTGCTCTGTTAACACTATGAAAGCTGATCAAAGGCATGCAACTTCAAAGTTAATTAGTGGCTACATTATCGACAATCTTCGAGACCCAAGGTTTGAAGTTACACCAGCTTTTGTCATGGCAGAGATGCAAAAATTGCATGGACTAGACATTGGGTATCATAAGGCGTGGCGTGCTATTCAACTTGCTTCCGCTTTAATAAGAGGAACTCCTGAAGAGAATTATGAATTATTGTCTTCATACTTGTATATGATGAGAAGTAAAAACCCAGGAACATATACTAACATAATGATAGACGACAACAATAGGTAAACAATCAAAAAAAAGTTTATTAGTCCGTTTTATAAAATTTAGGACATGTTGTCTTTAACCAGTTAACTTTTGAGCTTGTAACTAGAAGTTCAGAGCTGACTGTCCTTAACTTTTGAACTTGTAAGTCAAAGTTAAGGACTGCCTGTCCTTAACTTTTGAACTTTGAACTCAAAGTTAAGGACTGCATGTCCTTAACTTTATAACTTGTAACTCTAAGTTAAGGACTGGCTGTCCTTAACTTTTGACCTTGTAAGTCTAACTACAGGACTACTTGTCCTTAACTTTTGGCCTTGTAATCTGAAGTTCAGGACTACCTGTCCTTAACTTCTGTTAACCTTGTTTTTACTGTATTTTCAGGTTTCTTTATATGTTTTATGCATATGGATCATCAATATCTGGTTGGAATCATTGTAGATCAGTGATTGCTGTTGATGCAACTTTTTTGAAGTCAAAATTTCATGGTATTTTAATGATTTCAGTTTCAAATGGATGCAAATAACCAAATTTTCCCACTAGCCTTTGGAATAGCAGAATCTGAAAATACAATTCCTATGAGTGGTATTGCAATGCAATTGGAAGCCGTGAGAATTTAATTTTTTTATCAGATAGGCATCAAGCTATTGCATATGACATTGCAAAGGTATATTCTGAAAGCCATCATGGGATTTGTATCTATCATTTGGAGCAGAATCTAAAGCGAAGGAAAGTGAAAAGTGAGGTCATAAAACTTTTCCAAAGTGTTGCAAGAGTATACAGGCGCAAATAATTTGATCTATACATGTCAAATATAGCAAAAGTAGATAAGAAGACTTATGACTGCTTGATGGAAGAACCACCAGAAAGGTGGGCACGTTCTTGTAGTCCACGACGAAGATATGACATGCTCACAACAAACATAGTTGAATCAATGAATTCTGTCCTATTAGAAGCAAGGGAGCTGCCTCTATCAAGAATGATAGATTTCATTCAAGTGAAGCTACAACGTTGGTTTTATAAAAGAAGAAATGAAGCAGAAGGAACGTTTTATGATGTTTCTTGTTGGGTAGAGAAGGAATTGAAGAAAAAGATAGATTTAGCATTTACTTTGAATGTAAGTATTATGTTCTACATTTAGATTATGATTTTAATATAATTTAACATAATGTACTAACTTATAATTTTTCAACATTGAAGGTCTTCCCTGTTGATTCATGGCATTCTAGAGTTGAAGAAGAAGGAATAACTTTCTTGATGGACTTAAACAAAAGAACATGTGATTGTTTTCTGTTTCAATTTGATGAATTACCATGCATACATGCAATTTCAGCTATCGAGAAGAGAAACATCAAGAAGTCCAACTTTTGCTCGCACTGGTACTTAAAGGAATTGTCACGCCCTGGTTTGCCCTCCGTGAACTATCGTGACAACATCTAGTCTCTACGACTAGGTAAGCCTAAACTTGCGGAAGATAACCAAATTGCGGAAGTAAGACAATTTAAGAACAGAAATAAGACAATAACAGTGTTAAATGTGTCGCTCGGCATACACCATATTTATATAGATCTCAAAACCAATATCTAAATCCAAGACCCAAAAACCCATGAATCATAGGCTAAGATCAATACTACATAACTCTAACTCCGGAATGTCTAATAAGAACAGAAAAGTATAGAAGGGCTAAATACTAAAAGCAGAAATAGAAAGGGACTTCTCGGTCTACGGACGCGGCAGATGTACCTCGAAGTCTCTAGAGCAGTCGCCTCCCTCAAGGATAGTAGTCCTGAGTAGCGGTACCTGAATCTGCACATAAAAAACATGCGCAGAAGAGGCATGAGTACACCACAACGATACTCAGTAAGTGCCAAGCCTAACCTCGGTTGGGTAGTAACGAGGAAGGTCAGGGCCCTACTGAGGTTAAATACAATATAAGGGTTAACATTGTGGAATAAAATAGTATAACTAAGTGCAACAGTAAGAAATAACATAGAATTGACAGAACAACAACTAGAATAGAGACAAAACAAGCCACAGAAAGAAATATAGCTCAACACAGAGATAACAACCGGGGCACCTTCCAGGATACCATCCTGTAGTCCCAATTACAACTGTCTAGTGGATCTCCTGGGATATCGTCCCGTAGTCCATCATATATATGTCCGAAGGATCTCCTGGGATCCCGTCCCATAGTCCAACTATCAATGCATGTGGATCTACCAAAATCCCGATCCGTAGTCCCAAATATAAATACCCAGTACTGGGGGAATCTACCGGGTGCATTCCCGTAGTTCCATATAACTGTGCAGAGGGATCTACCGGGAATCTAACCCGTAGTCCCAAAGTTAATGTGCAGGGGGATCTACCGGGAATCTAACCCGTAGTCCCAAAGTAAACAGACAAGGAGGAGCTACCAGAATCTCACATCCGTAGTCCCAAAATAAATACACAGCAGCAGCAGGAAGATAAATAGAAATGGCAAAATTTCATATTAAGAAAATAAGTGATTCTAGCCTAGCATGCTGCACAGAATTCAAGTAAGGTAGGTTGAATCAAATAAAGCAATCAAGTTACTTAGACATGCTTTCCTAAGCGAACAACGGACTTAATAGTGCAAGAAATAGAAACAGGAAAGGAAACATACTAGTAATTACTTAAAGAAAACCGTATTTCCAACAATTAGCACAAGTACGCACTCGTCACCTCACATACAAGGCATTTCAATTACCAAATATACCAATCCTAGGGGAAGGTCCCCCACACAAGGTTAGACAAGCCACTTATCTCGATGCCACGAACATAATTCACAATTTAACTATAGCTTTACCCCTTGATTCCACCACCAATTCGCTCGTATCTAGTCACAAGTTACTTAATTACATCAATAAACGCTAAGTGAATCAACCCCAATGCATGAAAATGAGTTTTTCTAAAGTTTTACCCAAAAAGTCAAAAATTGCCCCGGGCCCACATGGTCAAAACCCGAGGTTCGAACCAAAACCCGATTACCCATTCCCCCACGAACCCAAATATATGATTTGTTTTGAAATCGGACCTTAAATCGAGGTCCAAATCCCCAATTTTTGAAAAACCTAGGTTCTACACAAAACACCCAATTTCCCCCATGAAAATCATTGATTTTGAGTTGAAATCATGTTAAAAGATGTTAATGATTGAAGAAAACTAGTTTAAAACGACTTACAATTGATTTGGAGAAGAAAAAACCTTTGAAAAATCGTCCTAGGGTGTATATGTTTTGAGAGGATATGAAAAATGGGTTTAAAATCGGTCAAGTATAAAAGTTGCAGGTTGCAGGTATGGGAAATGCGAACAGGTGTTCGCAATTGCAAACTACGACCTCTGCTAACTTACGAATTGCAAAACAGGGTTCGCATTTGCGAACCCTTCAGAAATGCTGAACTTTCGCATTTGAAATAGTGTCGCATTTGCGATACATAGGTCGCATTTGCGATCACTGGCCCATTGGCAAATCTTGGCATTTGCGAAGAAAATCTTGCATTTGCGAGTCAAGCCAGGCCTGGGCTGGTTTCGCATTTGCGATCCAGCCTTCGCATTTGTGAGCCAGGCTTTGCATTTGTGTAAATTTGTTTAGGAGCCCCGAGGGCTCGGGTAAGTTTTGGATAGGCCACGGGGTGCCTAAGCACACCAGCTAAAATTCTACAATTTTTTTTCTAAGTTCCAAATGCACCCCGTGGCCTATCCAAAACTTACCCGAGCCCTCGGGCTCCTAAACAAATTTACACACAACCTCAAGAACATCCCATAGACTTATTCGTGTACTCATATCAACAAAATAACATCAGAAACATCGAAGTAAACCTCAATATCAATGAAATTTATCAAAACTTCTTAAACATCAAATTTTGCATTTAAGGTCCGAATCACGTCAAACGGATTCCGCTTCTTACCAAACTTCACAGAATCATCTTAAATCATATATAAGACCTGTACCAGGCGCCAGAACCAAAATACGGGCCCGATACCAACATGTTCTAATCAGAATTCATTTCCAAACTTTATAAACAATTTCAGAAAATAATTTTCTTCAAAAATTCATTTCTCGGGCTTGGGATCTCGGAATTCGATTCCGGGCATACACCCAAGTCTCATATTTTCCTACGGACCCTCTAGGACCATCAAATCACAGGTCTGGGTCCGTTTACCCAAAACATTGACCGAAGTCAAATTAATTCATTTTATAGTCAAAATTTATTATTTTTCACAGATTTTCACATCTAGGCTTTCCGGCTATGTGCCCGGACTGCGCACGCAAATTGAGGTGATGTAAAAAGAGGTTTAAGACCTCAGAACGCAGAATTTCATTTTAAAACAAGTGATGACCTTTTGGGTCATCACAGGAATCTTGGCTGAAAAATATGAAAGACAAATACATCCTGTAGGACATATTGATTCTTGGACTGTACCACAGAGTGTTAAGTCACAAATTGTTAAACCTCTAGATTTCAAAGTGCCGCCAGGTAGAAGGCAGAAGAAAAGGCATATTCCAGCTACCGAGTCATCAAAAATAACATTCAAATGTGGTTGTTGCAGAAGAATTGGTCATAATAGAATAGCTTGTATATATTCTCTGGCAGTCCATCCATTTTCAAGAAAGCATAGAGAATAATAGATATATCCACTTATGTTTGTCGACTCTTTTAAGTTTTTACTATAAATTGGATTCATTTAGATTATTCTTATTTGAGCAGATGCCTGAATTTTCAAAATTCTTTTTGCTTACGTTCTCTTTGTTTCTTTTGAGTTCAAAGTTTAAAAGTTAAGGAATAGGATTCCTTAAGTTTGACTTGCAGGTGCAAAAGTTAAGGACAAGCACTGATTAAGTTTGAATTACAGGTTCAAAAGTTAAGGACAAGCAGTCCTTAACTTTGATTCAAAGTTGAAAAGTTAAGGACTGTTTGTCCTTAACTTTGAGGTTCAAGTTCAAAAGTTAAGGAGAGGCAGTCCTCATATTTGAATTACAGGTTCAAAAGTTAAGGACAGGCAGTCCTTAACTTTGAGTTCAAAGTTCAAAAGTTAAGGACTGTCTGTCCTTAACTTTGAGTTTCAAGTTCAAAAGTTAAGGACATGAGTCCTTAAGTTTGACTTGTTGGTTCAAAAGTTAAGGACATGCAGTCCTTAAGTTTGAATTACACGTTCAAAAGTTAAGGATATACAGTCCTTAACTTTGAGTCCAAAGTTCAAAAGTTAAGGACTGTCTGTCCTTAACTTTAAGGTTCAAGTTCAAACGTTAAGGACATGAGTCCTTAAGCTTGACTTGCAGGTTCATAAGTTAAGGACAGACAATCCTTAAGTTTGAATTACAGGTTCAAAAGTTAAGGACATGCAATCTTTAACTTTGAGTTCAAAGTTCAAAAGTTAAGGACATGCAATCTTTAACTTTGAGTTCAAAGTTCAAAAGTTAAGGACACATGGTCCTAAACTTTGACTTACAAGTTCAAAAGTTAAGGACACACCTTAACTTTGAATTTGAAGTTCAATTACACTTGTCATGAACTAATACTAACAAGCTCAATAGACAAATCAACACTTGAGAGAAACAAAGAAATTAATAACATGATGCCTTCATATTACTTCTGAAATCGTAATTTTGCATAGCTGTGACAAAAAATTATACTATGCAAACAAAATATAAGTGCCTTTTGAGGAGTTTACAGAATATTTCTGAATTCATATGAATTCTTTACAGCAATTTTATACAAAAGATCAACCACAACTAACTGTCTTTACAACTAAGCTACAACTCCTTCGAACAAAAAGTTTCATTTTCACTCTCATAGTCATCGTCAACATTTTCTGGTGGTGTATCATAACCAGAATTTCTTTTCCACTCACCATGTGCCCAAAGATTTGCGGCAAGTTCTTTTCTAAAGTCTTTTATATCTTCATGTTGGAATTTCTCCACATCCTTTCCAATTATCAACAACTCCACATACTTGATCAGGAGTGCACCACAATCAGTCCTAAGAAAAATGTAAGATATGGAGTGAGTTAAACAATAAATCTAAAGTACATATAAATTATATAACAAATAACAACACGTATGATCCAGTTTGGTATGGTGATCTTTGCCACTGAATATCAAATTTATTGAAGGCATTTCCAAAATACTTGTGATGTTTGTCAAACTGTGAGAACTTTAGCAAGTGGGGGATCATGCGTGCATACATTTCCATGTGATTCATTCCTTCCTCATATGACTCACTATATATGGAATCGTACACATCAATCTTTTTCTGATTCAAGTCTACCCCTAAAAGAAAGTGTGTCACAACATTATCATCTTCTAAAGGAAGCCGACATAGAAAAAAGATTTTGTCAACCTCTGTCCAAGCAATTCCACATCTACGACTATCCCCCCCACATATATGGCGCCAGAAACAATTGATTATCACCACACCAAAAATCATTTGTAGCATCTTCACTGAAATCCTTATACACAAGCACCATATAGTTATCAAAAAGAATATCTGTAGTTGTGCAACGAAAAGGATGGTCGCGAGGGTGGTAGCATTCCTTCTTTCTCAGATAATATAGGGCAATGTCAATATGCTTCATAAAAAAGGCAAAAAATAAAATAAATCCATCAGTCATAAAATAATTAAAAAATGATAAACTAAGAATAAAGAAAATAAATGACTTGCGAATTATCAAACCTTATCATCAAGTACAAGGCTACTATCTGATAGCTCAAGGAAGAACATTTTGCTACTGATTTTTTGATGATACAATTTGTATGGATTCTTTCTCACACCATTATCATCGGCATATATATTAGCTTGTCCCTTGAAAATTTTAAAAATATCAAAGTTAGAAGTTAGTCCTGAACTTAGCCTTTCAAGTTGAACAGTTAAGGATAGGCAGTCCTTAAGTTTCAATTACAGGTTCAAAAGCTAAGGACACTTTGGTCCTGAAATTTGAGTTTCAAGTTCAAAAGTTAAGGACATATGGTCCTAAACTTAGACTTACAAGTTCAAAAGTTCAGGACACTTTGTCCTTAACTTAGACTAACAAGTATAAAGGTTAAGGACAGACAGTCCTTAATTTTGGGTTTTAAGTTCAAAAGTTAAGGACAGGAGTCCTTAAATTTGACTTACAGGTTTAAAAGTTAAGGACAGACAGTCCTTAAGTTTGAATTATAGGTTCAAAAGTTAAGGATAGACAGTCTTTAACTTTGAGTTCAAAAGTTAAGGATAGACAGTCTTTAACTTTGAGTTCAAAAGTTAAGGACACATGGTCCTGAACTTTGACTTACAAGTTCAAAAGTTCAGGATACTTGGTCCTGAACTTTGATTTCCAAGTTAAAAGGTTAAGGACACTTGCTCCTTAACTTTGATTTTCAATTTTAAAAGTTAAGGACGTCTGGTCCTGAACTTAGACTAACAATCACAGAAGTTAAGGATACTTAACTTTAGCAATTTCAATATCAATACATTTAATCCTAAAATTTAAAATTACAAGTTAAGGACACGAATTTAAGCAATTAACAAAAAATGAAATACATTAAGGGACTTACTGTTTTTTGCGACCTTTTCTTTTCTTCTTGCCCAACCACACAATGAATTTCTTCAATAATTTTGCATCATCTTTGGCATAATGAAAAATACATCTATGAGTATATGTTGATTTTATCCAGCCCAAACTCTTGGGAGTATTTTCATTGTGCGCCATCGATATTCCTATTTTTTCTTTCCTGATCAAAAGGAGATTTCAACTACCAACTAAGCTTCTTGTTCCTTTTACCTCGACCAAGCTCTTCTTCAACATTTCCTTCAACCTCCATTGACAAACCCCCATCAATGCTCATTTGTGTACTTAGAGGAGTAGGAGTAAGAATAGAAAATGACGGACCATCATAACCAATACTATCTCTCTTTCTTTTNATGTACTGACACTTTCAATTATGAATATAATATTTATGACACAATCAATACATGTCTTGTTCACACTGCCTTCTTGTGTTTTTTCAACAGATAATTGAGCTAAAATATTGGTTGCATAATTTTCTTTATCTTCCAACTGCACATTTCATTATTTTGCAACTGTTCTCCATGTTCTTCAGTTGCTAGTTCACAACATTCTACAAAATATTTATAAGAGCTAATACAATTAGGTACTTGTTACTAATCTTTGATTAAAACAAACATGTATAAAATTAAAAAAAAACATTGTCTAACCGTTTGCAATTGTCAAGATTATCCCAATTAAATCATTATCTTCACTAGCATTTTCTTGGCTTCCAATATTGTTGGTAAGAGAGCGAGGTGTAGAGAGATCAGATGTTCCATCTATGTATTTGGAAACAATCTCACTTCTACTTATTCCTTCGATATTTTCTAGGTCTTGAGATTGTACTCCACTTTTCTCTTGATACTCCACTCCAGCTTCTTCCCTTGCAGCTTCAAAAGATTCTGTAACATTTGCAATTAATACCCATTCTAATAATTCACTAAAACTAACATTCAACATATCATGAAAATTTCATCTAACCTTCGCACAATTTTGAACTCCAAATTTCTCTTTATATGAGAGAGGTGTAGATAGATTATATGTTCCTTCTAAGC